ACCTTCAAAATATGGTCTCTGTTGCAAGGTGGTCTCCTTATCCGGGCTCATTTGACTAGAAATAGCATCCCTTGGTCCTGGCTGCAGTGGTCTTCTGGGACAGGTGATCGCCTTATCCGAATGGTCGCCTAGACAGGTTTTATTGTATTGCCGTGAAAGACATGTCATGAAAAATCGGCCGTGGACTGGGAGATTGTCGAGTTGAACACTCTTGGTTATGTATCCACGAGAACAATTTAATTAAGAGCAGGAGGGAAAACGGCACCATTTCTTCTTCTTCTGCAAAGGTTTTGTCCTGGTTAAAGTGGTTTGAGCTGCTTTAACATCCGCATACCAATGTGATATTACCAAGAGTCCATAACCCCAATAGTGTGCAGCTCTGTACATGGGGATCCGCGTGGCGGAATCCCAACATTACGTCAAAAATTCGTAACTTGCGCTTGTACTACTCCCTGGTTCCAAGCACCGCGGAATGCGAAGTTTTGTCCTTTGTGCCTGAGCGGCATGACGTAATGTTGGAATTCCGTCACGCAGTGGGCCTACAGCAGCCAGACCTCAGTTGCACACTCTTGGGATTATGGACTCGTGATAACGTGGATTAAAAAGTCTGTGCATGATGGTCCTACCAATAGGACGAAGGTCCAGGGGTGTAGCCTCGCACGCCTGTGGTGTGGTGAACTCTACTGTGGTATTGTGACCCTGTACCACTGGCAAACCTCATAGCTGCCATTTTGCCTATTTTTGCCTATTTTTGCCTATGTAGTAGGCTATCAATCAACACAAACGACATAAAAAAAACCCGTGGCCGTCGCGGTGGATAGATACGATTCGGCACGACCTGAAGGCAGCGGATCTCCCCGTGGAGAGCGCTCTCCAAGCTGCAGGAGATAGACTAACTTGGCTTGACACTGTTGACAGATGCGTCGACTCTGCTCCTGTCTAACAGGTTCAGGGAAGATGCGAGCTGTGTTTATTATTATTATTTTTATTATTATTAGTAGTAGCCTAACCTATGCGGACAGCCATTTGCTGGTGTAGGGACGGGACTAAGCTGACTGACGTTATACACCAGCTGCAACTATGACTAGACTTACACTGCCTGAATGGAGAACGGGATTCCTTGGCCACTGGTGAAGGTCGCCTAGCAAAGAACGACGTGAGAAGATCTGCTTCGTGACAATCCTTGAGTACGGACTCGTCTGCCTTGGAGTAGGACACAAACGCTCTACCGATGCCGTGGTCAATCAGAGCTCCAGTGCTGCTTTCGTAGCAGCAGATCTAAACCAGAAGTGTTACAGAGAGACAGAGAGAGCGTGAGAGAAAGTGTAAGAGTGAGAGAGAGAGAGTATGGGGGTGAGAGAGAGAGAGTGAGAGGCAGTGTGTGTGTGTGTGTGTGTGTGTGTGTGTGTGTGTGCGCGCGTGCGTGCATGCATGTGACAGAGTGAAGCGTTGACACAACGAAGAAATGAAGAAAAACATACATACGAACAGAGATCCGGGCACCCATGAAACATGCACAAGCACAACAGACTTACACTAATATGAATGTACACACATGTACCAGGGGTGTAACAGACGGTCCGGCCGGTCTGGCTTTGAACGGACCACCCTTTCGCCCGACCACGAAAAAAGTGCCCAGAATGCAAGATTTTGCAGCCTAATTTCAAAATTTGCCGCGGGACACCCCCGAACCCCCTGCTGCCAAACCACGGGAGTGCTACGCGCCTGAATACATGAACGCATGCACACACACAGAACACATGTGTACACACACATATGGCAGAGGAAAAAAGAAACCAACCGTTGAGATTGAAGATGTGAGGATGGCAGGATCTTCCACCGGCAGAGAGCGGAAGCATTGACCCATAATATCTGCGCGAGAATACTGCGAGAAGATATTGCACAACTTCACAATGGTGGAGTTGGACGGGCACTGGACCACGCTGTCACTGGAGAAGTGTGACTTGGGAGCGGAAGGCATGGCGTTGCAGCGCAAGGCCTTTCGAATACTGCCGCAGCCTGGTGTCAGCTTGTAGACGGTGCGACTGCTGCTGCGGCCAAACGCCGACAGAACGCGCTCGTCCTGTAGCTGGTATTGGGTTGTACCAGCGGCAACTACAGGTAGACGACGTCCACCGTACATGATGCCACCCTTGGCATAGGTGAAAATGGCAAACGACTGGCAGTCGTCGCTGATCAAGGCAGCCTGGAACGTGTTCCTCTGCAAAGCGAAAACAAGCGGCGAAAAAAAGAGAAGGAACGAGTGAATGTGTGCGTGTTTATGCATGTGCCTGTGTGTATGTGTTCTTGTCAGAGAAAGACAGACAGATGGACAGACAGACAGACAGACAGACAGACAGACAGACAGACAGACAGACAGAAAGACAGACAGATGGATGGACAGACAGAGACAGAAAGACAGACAGACAGACAGACAGACAGACAGATAGACAGAGAGAGAGTGAGAGAGAGAGAGAGTGAGAGAGAGTGAGAGAGAGTGAGAGAGAGAGAGAAAGAGAGAGAGAGAGAGAGAGAGAGAGAGAGAGAGAGAGAGAGAGAGAGAGAAGAGAGAGAGAGAGAGAAAGAGAGAGAGAAAGAGAGAGAGAGAGAGAGAGAGAGCGAGAGAGAGAGAGATAGATAGAGTTCACATGATGAGTTCACAAAGAACGAAACAGCATGCTGTCCGCAGATTGAGTATTATATATAATTATATATTATATTCGCTCCTGCTCTTGGAGCAGTTGAGCACTCTTGCGTGGGGTAGTGCCTTTGCTGTTTGCGTTATGCAGAGCTCACTGACTTGTCAGTTTGAGCACTCTGGCAAGGTACGTTCGGACCTGATTGGAAATTTTTATTTCCATTGCTATCAGGTTCGACCTCATTTCCTCTGTGCTGTGCTGACGAGTCCACAAAGGACGAAACAGTTCTGTCCGCAGATTGAGTATATTATATATATATATATACTAACGGGGTTTATGTAGTAACCAGACTCGTTGTAATGAGAGATCACCTGTATATATGTTGGACTCAGTAGAGCGTCCAGCCCCTATATGATGTCCAACCCCTATATAGAGTCCATTGGTCCAAAATCCACTGTACAGAGTCCAAACTTGGAATCAACTGTGAGCTCAAAGTTTAGATGAACATCACTCCCTGTATAGAGTCCAGCCAATTGGCTTCACCCCTATATAGACTTTATAGTGTCCATTGGTCCAAAATCAACTGTACGGAGTCCAAAATCAACTGTACAGAGTACAAAATCAACTGTACGGAGTCCAAACTTTGAAATCAACTGTACGGAGTCCAAACTTGGAAATCAACTGTACGGAGTCCAAACTTGGAAATCAACTGTACAGAGTCCAAACTTGGAAATCAACTGTACAGAGTCCAAACTTGGAAATCAACTGTACAGAGTCCAAACTTGGAAATCAACTGTACAGAGTCTTTATGTGGACAACACTTCCTGTATAAAGTCCACCCAATTAGGCATCCCCTATCCAGAGTTCGAAATTAGACATAGGATCTGCTGTAAGCAGTGAATATTAACCAGAAAACGGCCTCTCCCTTTAATCCTTTACATCATTCACTTCTCAAGATAAAAAATAAGTATTGAGGCGCCACTGCAGCCACTTCATTACATGAAAAACCCTACAAACACCATCCTCAAATCAAGTGGTCTCTTCGCAGACGCTGCAAATTACAATATCTCAATCATGTGGTGTTGCCAAATTATTGTGCACGCACACACACATGCACACACCCACACAACGCCAAGAAAATACCTAGAAAAACCCAAGAATCGAAAGAGAATAATGGAGAGCCAAGGATTAATTATTTGTTTTTAAATTATCGTGCGCGCACACACACACACACACACACACACACACACGCAACTCCAACAGCCATGCAAACGTCCACCCATTTACACGTAAAGTCAAGAGGGATAACAAAATAATTATACGAAACGAATGCATACGTGGCCGTGGGCGGATGCACGCACGTTTACATACATGTACATGTAGTAGTGTAAGAGAGTAACATAGTGCAGTAGTCAGCATAATACTAGCACATGCTGAGAGTGCAATAGCAAGCTTCACCATTGCTCATGGCCATGCAAATGTTCAGCAGCACTCAGTTCCGCAAGCTTCTGAAGATCAGCACACCTGCAACAAATAGATAGCACAAGGATACGCTTATTACCATAATGATGCATGGGAGCACACAACTACCAAGTTCTCAACGAATGTGATGCTCAATGAAAATCCATCCACTCAAAGACCTGTGAACAGGTGACGGTGGGGACAATAATCTATTAGTAATACGAGGAATAAGATCGTTTGTGCACACTCAAGACGCACAGACACACCACCATACATGTAGTGTACACAGTGTTTCACTTCACTACAACTAAATTGAAATGAGATGATTTGAACAATCTGTACAGCGTTGCCGTCAGTCAGTCTTCCCCAAGATGGAAATGCAATGATTTGTTGTCACGAGGCAGTTTCACTGACACAGTGTCATGTTTGTGACAACAAAACGGTTACTTCATGGAATACGAGTACATGTATTAGCTCGAGAAGCTTTTTCTTGTCATCGGCATACAATAAATCCTCCTCCTACTACTACTAGTACACTGGCACTGCGTTTGTGGATCCCATTGTATTTGACATCATACTAGAGCCTAGTAGAGGAAGACTGTCGTGGAGTTCACATAATTGTCATAGGGATAAAAATACATTTCTCATGAAATAAAATAATAATTGATGATAGTTAGACGATCGTATACGATTGATGCAAAGTCCTTGCATTCCTTGAGGACTATTACGAAGTGGTTGATTACTTTTAGGGCATTCATTCAAGCAACATCAAACAAACGCGATACGCTCCTTGAAAATGGAAAAAAATTCAAGCATATTACGACAGAACAGCAGACCAATCGAAACGAGTAAAAGCTTCCTTACCTCAGTCATCGTCCTGCCATGTAGTTGGACAGCCTTTTGACATGGTGGTACAGGCAGCTCTTGTCCAGTCAAACAGGGTATCCTTGTGGCGTCGAACGAAAGAGAGTGTCAGTGTATCTGACTCGTCAGATTGGAACTGTGCTGAACTTCTGCTTTCATCCCTCGTTCTGATGAAACCGTTCAAACGTCTTACTGGCAGCAATGGCCAGCCAAACAGGGGATCCTTGTGGCGTCGAACGAAAGAGAGTGTCGGTGTACCTGACTCGTCAGATTTGAACTGTGCTGAACTTTTCTCGTTCTGCAATTTCTGCTTTCATCTCGCGCACTGATGAAACGTCTTCCGAGAACCACAAGACCCTTTCCAGATTTGATTTTGAACGTCTCCTTATCCTCCTTGGTTACCTCGAGACAGATTACTGTCAGCAACTGCACAGCAGAACTGGCAGCCATGGCTGAAGTGAAGAAAGGAATGCGCTGCCACGAGGCAAGCAAAACTGAAAAGGTGTTTGTTTTCTTTTGGGCACAACACACAGGACGGCATGGATAAACTGGACTCCTGGACCGTGAATAGGGGACTTGTAGAAAAAGTGTACTCCTTATAGGGGATTGCGCGGCAGGATGAATCTGATCAAAACTGAGTGGACTCCTGGACTCTGTATAGTGGATTTTGGACCAATGGACTCTATATAGGGTGCTGGACATCATATAGTGCATGGACTCTATACTGAGTCCTACATATATATATATATGGATGACGACTACACCATAGCTCAGTGGTTAGAGCATCGCTGGCTACAAGCGAGGGTCCCTGGTTCGAGTCCTGGTGGTGACAGTCAATTTTTTCTTCAGACTTTTCCCGTTTGTCTCTTTCCCTCAAACCAGTTAATATATATATATATATATATATATATATATATAGAGAGAGAGAGAGAGAGAGAGAGAGAAAGAGACAGAGCGATTCAGAGAGACAGAGTACATGAGTACATGCATGATGTGAGCATACCAACGATTGATTCCTAGATGACTGTATGTCTGTCCACGTCACGACGACAGCTTCTTGCGGCTCGAATGAGTCAGAGGGAGCAACATTTGATGTCATGACAGCTTGCACAATCTCAGCCATCATAGCCGGATCAGCCGACTTGGTATAGCGTTCTGATGTCACACGCCCTTCAGTGGTGATGTCGCCAAGATCCGTCCAGAACGGAGCCACAATAGCGGCGGAGTCGGGAATGGCGCTGTAAACAAGATCATTCTTGGCTTTGGTGAACGACAGAAAACCGTTGCGTTTGATCTGAGGGAGAAAATGAGCAAACACACCCGCACACCCACCCACACACATAGTCACACACACTTGTTGCTCACTGCCAAAACTGGTCACGTGGGTCTCCCCGGGAGAGGGGAGAGAGACTCAAAAGGAATCTTGGAAAGATGACTCAATTGGTTATTGAACCGCCCAACGGCCGACACCGCCTGAAATCCCCCAAAACTCTGGGTGGACTTGAAAATGATCCCACTTATGGGCTCACCACACCTCAGTAAGTGGGTGAGGACAAGGTGCAGAAAAAGGATTGACGGTATCAGGGTATCCGTCCCGGGATCCAACTGCAGTTGCCCCTGCCCCCAGTGAGGGTAATACTTGGTACTAGTGAGGGTGGCTAAATCAGAGTGGATCTGATACAAGCTTCACTAGCACCATGATTACACAAGAGTTAATCTAGCCAGAAGTAGTCCATGGTTAACAGGTATGTATACTTCAAATAGAAAGTATATGAACCCTGAAACCAACAAAGGTGGTAGGTGCAACATTACACCTTCAAGCAGCCGAGCCTGTTGGCAACAGACCCAACACTATCCGGCATAAGTGTACCCACCAACCGAACTAGCTGGCACACACACATACACACACACACGCATACATACACAAATTTGAACACACACACACACAGTCCCCCCCCCCCACACACACACACAGCCGTACACCCCCCCCCCCCCAACATACACCCACCCACACCCACCCACCCACCCACACAGAATCAAGCCATCAACAGTTAGGCCATTGACAGCTAGTAGCCACCAGTAACACTACTGCAGCACCAGTGTGATATTGGACGTACATGCAGAGATGAGTACATGGAATGTTGTTTGCCGAATCTAAAGCCTGCTGGCAAGGTCATCTTGCCAAGACTGCGAAGGCTGACCTTGAAGAATTCACTGGGATAATCTGAGACGGACAGGCAAACAAACACACGAATACACGAACACACCAACACACACACCATTGGACCATTGGACGCCCATCGCCAGAGGCGATGATAGCGATGCTACAGCAGAAGCCATAGCAGCTTGTGCTGGGATTGCACCATTCAACAGCTTGCCAGGCTGAAGAATTGACCGCCACTATTCAGCCTGGTCTACACCACACAGCTATGAAGTGGCTCTTTTTTGGCCAGTGAATCCCTACTTTTCGGTCTTTTTCATTGTTTTCTTCTTTTTTTTCACGCACACATCACACCACATACTCCAGCATGCACTGGCTGTTGGTAACTACCCAGGAGAATGAAAGAAAAGTCAGGAAGGGTCCGAGAAAGAGAAGACGTGTGTGATCATAATCGTCGGGAATCGAACCCGCAACCTATCGATTGGAAATCGCTGCACATACCACTGCACCATATGGGACACACACACACACACACACACACACACGCACGCACACACACACACACGCACACACACACGCACATACATGCTTGTAACAATGCACATGTTATGATCCCTGCTCAAAGCAGGGGCGTCGGACACGGTACGGCCACTACGGTATTGACTGTACCACTATTTGCCCCAAGTACCCCGTGAGTCATAAAATGCACTGACTCGGACAGCAAGCAAGCAAGGGGGCACCGCACCCCACTAACCCTACCAGACAGCAAGCAAGCAAGGGGGCACCGCAGCCCACTAACCCTACCAGACAGCAAGCAAGCAAGGGGCACCGCACCCCACTAACCCTACCAGACAGCAAGCAAGCAAGGGGGCACCGCACCCCACTAACCATACCAGACAGCAAGCAAGCAAGGGGGCACCGCACCCCACTAACCATACCAGACAGCAAGCAAGGGGGCACCGCACCCCACTAACCCTACCAGACAGCAAGCAAGCAAGGGGGCACCGCACCCCACTAACCCTACCTTCGCATCCGCTCTGCGAGTAGTATTTGTTGTGGCTTGTGCACTTGTCGCACTTCTCCCCATGGTAGCCAGGTTTACAGAGGCAGCGGCCGTCCTTGTCGCATGACTTACCCACGGTACCGAGTGTGTTGCAGAAGCATGCTGCAGCAAACATTACACCGTACAGCAACTAACAGTGAGGATGACGGTTTCACAGTCGGGGGAGGGGGGGGGGGGGGGAGGGGAGAGAAATGGGGGGATGATGGTTACCAAAGCATATAGATGTCTCGTGTGAGGTAGTGCCTTTGCTGTTTGCGTTACGCCGAGCTCACTGACTTGTCAGTTTGAGCACTCTGGCAAGGCACGCTCGGGCCTGGTTTAAAATCTGGCTTCGGAAAATTTATTTTTCATTGCTACCAGGTTCGGCCTAATTTTCTTCTGTGCTGCGCTGAAGAGTCCACAAAGGACGAAACAGTTCTGTTCGCAGATTGGGTAGATGTATGTACATACACAGTTATATTCCCTGATTCAGATTAGAGAAGGCAGCCACAGCAGGTAGTCTACGAGTAAATGCTTCCCGGATCCCTGATGTACTCCGTACTCTACTGGCCTTGTGAGAAGAAGGCCTTGGATGCTTGTTAATTTGATGAAGTAAAATAGAGCACAATACCATGCTATCTACTAGCATACATATAAGGTGTGATTGTATAATGGCTGGTTGTACTTGTACCTGCCAAATATGGGACGAGTTGCACTGCCAAAAAAGGCTGCACTCATGTTTTATGCATAGGTGCCATTGCTAAGAAGATGAATTCTACTTACGTTGGCAGGTCTCGTTGGTGTTCTGTCTGTAGGATCCGTCGAGGCATCGCTCGCAGTTCAACCCAAAGTAGTCCTTGTTGCACTGACACTGGCCGCTGGATGGATGGCACACGGAGGCGCGGGAACCCACCTTGTCGCAGCTGCACTCGACGCACTTGTCCTGGCCCTGACGTTGATAGCCCAGGCTGCAGTGCTGGCATGTGTCGCCACGGTAACCTGGCTTGCACGTGCACGTGCCGTAGTGCGGGTTGCACACGCTCTCGGCGCGGTCCTGCGGGCAGTTGCACTTGGAGCAGGCGGAGTTGGGGCCGAACGCCTTGTAGAATCCTGGCGAGCACGATTCACAATACTTACCCTGGTTGTTGGGTTTGCAGGTGCACGTGCCGTTTCGTACGTTGCACGACGCGGACGCCGACTTGCTGCACAGGCACGGTATGCACTTCTTGCCACTCGAGTCGTAGCGCTCAAACTTGTCACATTTCTTGACTGTAGCGGGCGAACACACACACACACACACACACACACACACACACACACATGCAAACACACACACACACACACACACACACACACACACACACACACACACACACACACATGCAACCCCCCCCCCCCCCAATACACACACGCACACAAAACGCACACACCAAACACACACACGCACACACACACATGCACATACGTTGCACATGCACAAACGTATGAAATTACAGTCCATTTCAAAACTATAGACGCGTACCTAGGCAAAAACCGTTATGCCAGCATCTATACCACATAAAATCTGTGATCACTTTGTGCATAATTTTTTTCCAAATTGGGCGTCTGTTATCCAATCCTTTAGAAACTATATGAGAGTAATTGTGGAGCGATCCTGAGCAATATTCCGAAAACTATTCTCAAAAAGTTCCAGCCAAATTTGAAATATTTCAAAAACCCTACGCGTCTATAGTTTTGAAATGCACTGTAGCGCACAAGCCCAGTCAACAAGCAGACAACAGGTCCCATGCACAGCTAGTCTGTAGTGCACAAGCCCAGTCAACAAGCAGACAACAGGTCCCATGCACAGCTAGTCTGTAGTGCACAAGCACAGTCAACAAGCAGACAACAGGTCCCATGCACAGCTAGTCTGTAGTGCACAAGCCCAGTCAACAAGCAGACAACAGGTCCCATGCACAGCTAGTCTGTAGTGCACAAGCACAGTCAACAAGCAGACAACAGGTCCCATGCACAGCTAGTCTGTAGTGCACAAGCCCAGTCAACAAGCAGACAACAGGTCCCATGCACAGCTAGTCTGTAGTGCACAAGCACAGTCAACAAGCAGACAACAGGTCCCATGCACAGCTAGTCTGTAGTGCACAAGCCCAGTCAACAAGCAGACAACAGGTCCCATGCACAGCTAGTCTGTAGTGCACAAGCCCAGTCAACAAGCAGACAACAGGTCCCATGCACAGCTAGTCTGTAGTGCACAAGCCCAGTCAACAAGCAGACAACAGGTCCCATGCACAGCTAGTCTGTAGTGCACAAGCCCAGTCAACAAGCAGACAACAGGTCCCATGCACAGCTAGTCTGTAGTGCACAAGCACAGTCAACAAGCAGACAACAGGTCCCATGCACAGCTAGTCTGTAGTGCACAAGCCCAGTCAACAAGCAGACAACAGGTCCCATGCACAGCTAGTCTGTAGTGCACAAGCACAGTCAACAAGCAGACAACAGGTCCCATGCACAGCTAGTCTGTAGTGCACAAGCCCAGTCAACAAGCAGACAACAGGTCCCATGCACAGCTAGTCTGTAGTGCACAAGCACAGTCAACAAGCAGACAACAGGTCCCATGCACAGCTAGTCTGTAGTGCACAAGCACAGTCAACAAGCAGACAACAGGTCCCATGCACAGCTAGTCTGTAGTGCACAAGCACAGTCAACAAGCAGACAACAGGTCCCATGCACAGCTAGTCTGTAGTGCACAAGCACAGTCAACAAGCAGACAACAGGTCCCATGCACAGCTAGTCTGTAGTGCACAAGCCCAGTCAACAAGCAGACAACAGGTCCCATGCACAGCTAGTCTGTAGTGCACAAGCCCAGTCAACAAGCAGACAACAGGTCCCATGCACAGCTAGTCTGTAGTGCACAAGCACAGTCAACAAGCAGACAACAGGTCCCATGCACAGCTAGTCTGTAGTGCACAAGCCCAGTCAACAAGCAGACAACAGGTCCCATGCACAGCTAGTCTGTAGTGCACAAGCCCAGTCAACAAGCAGACAACAGGTCCCATGCACAGCTAGTCTGTAGTGCACAAGCACAGTCAACAAGCAGACAACAGGTCCCATGCACAGCTAGTCTGTAGTGCACAAGCCCAGTCAACAAGCAGACAACAGGTCCCATGCACAGCTAGTCTGTAGTGCACAAGCCCAGTCAACAAGCAGACAACAGGTCCCATGCACAGCTAGTCTGTAGTGCACAAGCACAGTCAACAAGCAGACAACAGGTCCCATGCACAGCTAGTCTGTAGTGCACAAGCACAGTCAACAAGCAGACAACAGGTCCCATGCACAGCTAGTCTGTAGTGCACAAGCACAGTCAACAAGCAGACAACAGGTCCCATGCACAGCTAGTCTGTAGTGCACAAGCACAGTCAACAAGCAGACAACAGGTCCCATGCACAGCTAGTCTGTAGTGCACAAGCACAGTCAACAAGCAGACAACAGGTCCCATGCACAGCTAGTCTGTAGTGCACAAGCCCAGTCAACAAGCAGACAACAGGTCCCATGCACAGCTAGTCTGTAGTGCACAAGCCCAGTCAACAAGCAGACAACAGGTCCCATGCACAGCTAGTCTGTAGTGCACAAGCCCAGTCAACAAGCAGACAACAGGTCCCATGCACAGCTAGTCTGTAGTGCACAAGCCCAGTCAACAAGCAGACAACAGGTCCCATGCACAGCTAGTCTGTAGTGCACAAGCACAGTCAACAAGCAGACAACAGGTCCCATGCACAGCTAGTCTGTAGTGCACAAGCACAGTCAACAAGCAGACAACAGGTCCCATGCACAGCTAGTCTGTAGTGCACAAGCACAGTCAACAAGCAGACAACAGGTCCCATGCACAGCTAGTCTGTAGTGCACAAGCACAGTCAACAAGCAGACAACAGGTCCCATGCACAGCTAGTCTGTAGTGCACAAGCCCAGTCAACAAGCAGACAACAGGTCCCATGCACAGCTAGTCTGTAGTGCACAAGCCCAGTCAACAAGCAGACAACAGGTCCCATGCACAGCTAGTCTGTAGTGCACAAGCCCAGTCAACAAGCAGACAACAGGTCCCATGCACAGCTAGTCTGTAGTGCACAAGCCCAGTCAACAAGCAGACAACAGGTCCCATGCACAGCTAGTCTGTAGTGCACAAGCACAGTCAACAAGCAGACAACAGGTCCCATGCACAGCTAGTCTGTAGTGCACAAGCACAGTCAACAAGCAGACAACAGGTCCCATGCACAGCTAGTCTGTTTCCATTACAGTGGTCCCTCTATAATCCTGCACAGCATTTGTGCTACGGAAGTTGTGCTGGATTAGGGAGGGTGCTGTGTCAACAAATCTGATTTCTGCTGCAATGTGCATAGGAGAACATTTTGGTACAGTCTACTTCGCTTATAACGACTGCGGATATAACGACAATTTGCGAATAACGACAGAATTTCCATGCCCAGAGCAAAGTCCCATCCAACTGTAATACATATAATGAGACTTCGGGTATTACGGCACTTCGCGAATAAGGACACTTTTCTGATGCCCCGCCGAGTGTCGTTATAAACGAAGTTGACTGTAACTGAAAATTATGCTGGTTTGTAAAGTGCTGGATTACAGAGGGACATCTGTACCTACATATTCACATTGTCATCCAAGAACACAGCGGGAGCAGCAGCAACAACAGCAAAATAGGCAACACTAATAGCAGCAGCAGCAGCATCAGAACCAGCAGCAACTGCAAAAGCAGCAGCAGCATCAACGTCTGCAGCAGCAACAGCAGCAACATCTTCAGCAGCAACAGCATCAACATCTGCAGCAGCAACAGCAGCAGCAGCATCAACATCTGCAGCATCAACAGCAGCAACATCTTCAGCAGCAACAGCATCAACATCTGCAGCAGCAACAGCAGCAGCAGCAGCAACTGCAAAAGCAGCAGCATCAACATCTGCAGCAGCAACAGCATCAACATCTGAAGCAGCAACAGCATCAACATCTGAAGCAGCAACAGCAGCAGCAGCAACTGCGAAAGCAGCAGCAGCATCAACATCTGCAGCAGCAACAGCAGCAACATCTTCAGCAGCAACAGCATCAACATCTGTAGCAGCAACAGCAGCAGCAGCAACAACAGCAGCAGCAACTGCAAAAGCAGCAGCAGCATCAACATCTGCAGCAGCAACAGCAGCAACATCTGCAGCAGCAACAGCAGCAACATCTGCAGCAGCAACAGCAGCAGCAACAGCAGCAGCAGCAGCAACTGCAAAAGCAGCAGCAGCATCAACATCTGCAGCAGCAACAGCAGCAACATCTTCAGCATCAACTGCAAAAGCAGCAGCAGCAGCATCATCATCAGCAACAACAGCAAAAGCAACAACAGCAGCAGCAACAACAGGAGCAACATCAGCAATAGCAACAGCAGCATCGGCAGAAGCCACGAAAGCAAGCACACACTCACCTGGCTCAATACAGCTGCGACCATCACCGGCATAGCTGCTTGGACACAGGCACAGGTAGTTGGGCTTGCGGTTGACGCACTGCGCAAGCGCGTGGCAGTCATGCAGTTTCTCCCAGCACTCGTTGATGTCGGTGCACAGACGTCCGTTGCCCGTAAAGCCCTCCTTGCACTTGCAGCTGAACGTTCCCGGCAGGTTGGTGCACTGCGCAAACTCGCTGCAGGCGTGCGTCCCGTCGGCGCACTCGTCAATCTCCACGCAGGTGACGCCGTCGCCCGAGTACCCCGCCCGGCACTTGCACTCGTAGGAGCCGGCCGTGTTCGCGCACTCCCCTCGCGAGGCGTCGCACTCGTTCACCCCGGTGCTGCACTCGTCCACGTCGTCGCACTTCACGCCGCTGCCGTGATAGCCCTCGTGGCAGGAGCACTCGAACGCGCCGTCCGTGTTCTCGCACGTGGCCAGGGTGGCGTGACACGGCACGCTGGCCGAGCATTCGTCAATGTCCAGACAGCTAGTAGTGTTGCCATTGTAACCGGACTTGCAGCGGCAGAGGAACGAACCGGCCACGTTTGTGCACTCGCCGTTCAGCGGGTCGCATAGCGTCGGGTCGGCGCACTCGTTGATGTCTGCAGCAGCAGTGCATACAGACACACACACACACATATATACACACACACACACACACATATACAAACACACACGCAAGCATGCAAGTATGCATGCAAACACAACCACACACGCACACATTTGAATCATGGTACTAGCAGAAACATTTGGTCCTCTGTACGCGTGCATGAGTGAGAAATAGCGGAAGAGCAGATCGTTCGGGCATAAAAACCCCGACGACATAATTATATATTCGAATGAACTCGGAATTCTCATAATATCATGAATCTTCTTTACTATTTCCCGCTCTCACGAAATTTTATTAGTTCTTAGCAGGAACTGGAGGTTTCCTCAGGTGAGAAGGTAGAATTTCCTGTGCTGTAATTGAACGAATTCAAAAAGAGAGAAAGCTGACCCGCTGAACATACCAAGCGGCAACAAAATCACCAGCCTCTTCAACCTCCCGATGCTGTCCTTACCAGAGGAAGCGAATCCATTTCCTGTGATTCCCTTGTCACAAGCGCAAATGAATGCCGGAAGGGGGAGGGGATTCAGAAAACACCTTGAAGGGTTTTCATGTCATGAAGTGACTGCAGTGGAGCTTGCATACCTTTTAAAGAAATATCTTGAAAGATTTAAAGAAACGACAATGCTGAATCGCTGACCACCCAGCGGCAACAAAATCACCAGCTTCTTCCTGCTGCTGATGCTGGACTTACCAGAGCAAGCAAATCCATTTCCTGTGAATCCCGTGTCACAAGCGCAGGTGAATGCTCCAGGTGTGTTGGTGCAGGTTCCAGACTGGCTGCACGGCGAGTTCTCACACTCGTCCACGTCTGCAATACACACACACACACACACACACACACACACACACACACACACACACACACACACACACATACACACACACACACACATACATGCCCGAACACACGAGACATTTTCATTGTTTTAGTACAGTGTCATGGATTGGCACCTGCATTTTTAATGGCAGGTGTCCATAATCCCCCAGAGAGTGCAACTTCACTGATCAGATCTGGGATGGCGAAATCCGTGTTGCACGTCATAGCATCATGAGTAGGGGAAGTGTGTGTTTCCGTGGTGGACCGCGTCGACGCAAGTCCGACCCAAAAATGACGTACATCACGAATTACGCCGTCCCACAACCCCAGCCCAGTTGAGCACTCTGGGGGATTATGGACTCGTGTGCTTTTCTACCAAGTGCACTCTCTGAAAAGTACACTGACCAATGACAGCCTTCCAGTGCCCCCGTAACAAGCAGCTATCAGCTCCAAGTCTTGGCATCACTGCTGCCTATGTGTAGCAGGGGTGCAGAAAAAAGAAGACCATTAAAGGCAGAGCAGATAAACAGGGGCTGACCATTATCATCCTGAAATATCTTCTGTGCAACATGTTGCAACATTCACCATGTATTGACTGATGATCCAATTCAATTCGTGAAACTCAGAGTTACAAAGTTGCAGCTGTTCGTCCTTCTATTTCTGTTACACCATTCGTAAGCACAAACCTACGCATCTGGTGCGACATACATGTACTTACACAGTGTGTTGATCGGTTATAGCGTGGTCGTGCAAAAGAATATACTGCCTACAAGTTAGTTGTCAGTTTGTCCTAAAGTCCATTTCGCGTAGGGATTTGGCTGGAACTTTTTGAGAATAGTTTTCGGAATATTGCTCAGGTCCGCTCCACAATTACTCTCATAATTTATAGTTTCTAAACGATTGGATAACAGACGCCCAATTTGGAAAAATTTATGCACAAAGTGATCACAGATTTTATGTGGTATAGATGCTGGCATAACGGTTTTTGCTTAGGTACGCGTCTATAGTTTTGAAATGGACTGTCGCCTCCGTACCATTGTCTTTCCTTACTCTTTTCGAGCTGGTTACGTGAACATACAGTCCATTCATTGGAAACTGGCACCCTAACTTTTTGGTGTCTCTGTCATATAGTTGTAGATATCGTGAAAACAACAGTACATCACGCATTGTGTGACCCGTGCAATTACTCCTTGCCACATTTGAGGCCAGAAAATTCCAAGAACAGGGAAATAGAAATTCAGCCAGGTTTTACAAAATTAGGACAGGTATGCCATGACAAAATGTATGGAGAAGCAGATCCCAAACCCAGATTTTTGAGATTTAAAGTGGGTTTTTGATCCTCAATTCGGCCCAAATCCGACTTTCAAAGCCAGCGGGCCAGTTTCCGATGAATGGACTGTAGTTAAAAAAAAAGCAAGAATGAATGAACTCATATATGGTCTAAGTGTACGTGCGAGTATGGTGTGATGTGTGACGTGTATGGTATGTGGTGCATGCAAGAGTATGCGTTGTCAGAGTGTGAGGATCTGCTTCCGTCTGTGTGAGAGTGACTGTCAAGTGAATGCTGTACATGCGCAGTGCTAGTTTGGTCTGGGAATGAGAGTCATGTGTGATTCGTCCGTGGTCTGGTTGTCTTGGTCTTGGTCATGTGCTCTGTACGTATTAGTCCCTGATTGGTCGTCCCGTTTGTCGTCGGTTTATTAGGCCACCCTTTCTTTTTTCGTTGTTTAACGTCCGCGCCCGCGTACCTTTTTGCCTCCGACCGGAAAAAAAACAAGAAAGTAGTAGTACCAATAATATGCGAAGTTGTAAATACATGATTGTGTAGTTTCACAGTGTGCCGATCATGACCTTAAACTTATAATCTTGCCTCCCGGGCATGCCTTTGTCTTGTGTTCTTTTTCTTTTTTTGTTGGCTTTTAAATATCGTACGGTGTGTGTCCAAGTAAAAATCCAGATGTAATGAATTCATGACATGCTAACTCCATGCTATGTACCTGTTTTGTTGGATTCATCAGGCATGTGCTCCAATGTACCATCAAAGAGTGTTGTTCTATGCCTGCAAGTGCCGTTAGACCCAGAAATATTGTATGTATCACATGCTTTACTGGTCAAAATGTTTGATTGGGGTTTCCAGTTTTTGGAATGGGCTTTTGTTTTTTTTTCGCCCTCCCGCGTACCTTTTCGCGAAAAAAAGGACGTTAAACAATGAATTAACAAAGGGTGGCCTTACTGCTTGTTCTTTTCTTCGTGTCTTCTCCCGGGTGTCTTTTCCGTTGTCTTTTTGTCGTGTCCATTTTCGTCTTTCTCCTCCTGCGCCCTCGCCATTTATTGTTGAGAAGTGAATACTAGTATTGAAACTAACTGAGCGGCGTGCTGTTGTTTGGCGGGGGCCAGGGGAGAAGACTATTTCCATTTCAGAAGAACAGAAGGTCGTTTTTCAAACACCCACGCTATAACCGATACCTACTGTATTTATAATATTAGTCTTTCATACCACGATGGCATGGCGCCAATAAGGAAGAAGAAGTACTGTAATTTCACAAATGTTCGGTGCACTTTTATTTTCGGTACTTTCGGTGTGGCTGTTTCATACCTACTTGTAAAATTTCAATAACCGAACAAACACTTAGGCTGCATTCATTCTTAGCTACCTGGTAGAGGAGTACTCTACCGATAGAGGTAGATGGTATAGGCAAGTTTACGAACGCTGTTCTACCGGATTTTGTAGTTTACACGATGTGTACGTGAAATGTTCCTTTTTTTGGATGGAGTTGTGTACAAATCCTTGATCTTGCTGGAAATCCCGTAGCTCTATCAACTTCTACCGGATTCTATCAACTTTTTCCTGGTAGAGCCGGTAGAGGAAAGTAGAATCTACCCTTTTCAGTAGAATTTTTTTTCAAAAACGAACACCTCTACCGAAAGAAGTAATTTCTACCCAAACCTGTAGATCAAAAACGAACGCCCCCTTACACACATAATCCGAAAGGAAACTGCTTCTCTGCACCTAAATATTCTGTTCACCTACTTCAATGAAGTACTAGTAACCTGGCCTTTGCCCTCATACCAAAAATATCAAGCACCTAAAAGTTTGAGAGGATTGGGCGAACTTCAAATTCAAAGGATCAATTGGGGAAGTGAACTGCCTGAAAACAGAAGACCATGGCTCAGTGTTTAGAGCGTTGCTCATCGCAAGCGAGGTCCCGAACCCTGATGGATCTGGCATTTTTTTCACTTTTCGGGCAGTTCACTTCCCCGATTGATCACCTGAAATCTGAGTGCTTACCACAGCCGGTTTTGCCGCTTCCCTTGGACCCAGGCGCACACACGCAGAAGAAGGAACCGGGCGTGTTTTCACAGCCAGCGGTGGTGGCGCAGTCGTTGGCGGACGTCGAGCACTCGTCGACGTCGATGCACTCCTTGCCGTCGCCGCGGAAACCCTCCTTGCACTTGCATGTGTGACTGCCAATGGTGTTGTTGCAGACGCCGCGCTCATGGCACGCCGGCTCCTTGCCCTTGCACTCGTCGAAATCAAGGCAATACTCGCCATCCCCGGTGTACCCCAGAGCACAGGAGCACTTGTACGATCCCACGGTGTTGGAACACTCGCCGAGAGTTTTGTGGCATGTGTTATTGTCGGCGGAGGCACACTCATCTGTGTCGTTACACGTATGTCCGTCGCCGATGTAGCCGATGTTGCACGCGCACGTGTAGTCCATGGGCACGTTTGTACACGTGGAACGACCCACATGACACGCGTGCAGGTTCTCCCGACACTCGTCCACGTCCGTGCAGTCGGTTCCGTCGCCGCGAGTTCCCGAAGCGCACGAACACGCGTGTGTCAGCGGCTCGTTTGTGCACACGCCGAACTCGGAGTGGCACGCGTCCGTTCCGCTCATGCACTCGTCCACATCTGTGCAGTTGACACCGTCGCCCTCGGACCCGGTCTTACAACGGCACTCGTGCGAGCCATTCTTGTTCTCGCAGACGCCGAAGTCGGCGTGGCAACTGTGCGCGCCGGTGTTGCACTCGTGAATGTCGGCGCACTTCTGGCCGGTGCCCGTGTAACCAGGGAGACACACACAGAAATAGGAACCGACGTTGTTGTGGCAACTGGCCAGCGTGTGGCAACTGTGCGTGCCGCCGTCACACTCGTCCACGTTCTTGCACTGCTGCCCGTTGCCAGCGAAGCCGGTCTTACAGGCACACTCGTATGTACCCGCCTTGTCTGTGCATGTGGCGTGCTCGTGGCAGTTGTTCACACCGTGGCACTCGTCGATGTTGACGCACTCGCGCCCGTTGCCCTCGTATCCGCTGTGGCACGCACACAAGTACGAGCCGGCGACGTCCGTGCACGTGGCGTTCGTGTGACAGGTGTTCTCTGCCGGTGTAGCACACTCGTCCACGTCGGAGCACTGCTTCCCGTCGCCCTGGAAACCCTTCGAGCACTTGCACGTGAAGGAGCCGTCGTTGTTGGCACAGGCGGCGTTGGCATGGCAATTATTCACCGTGCTGCACTCGTCCTCGTCGGCGCACTTGCGGCCGTCGCCTCGGTAACCGATGTTACATTTGCACGTGAACGAGCCAACCGTATCCGTGCAATTAGCCTGTTTGTGACAGGTGTTCTTCTCAGCGCTGCTGCACTCGTCCACGTTGTCGCACTGGTCGCCTTGGTAACCGTCGAGACACTCGCACGTATAGGAGCCGTTGGTGTCGACGCAGCTGGCCAGCTTTCCGCAGCTGTTCATGCCCATGCACTCATTGGTGTTCGTGCAGGTCTCACCATCGCCGTGGTAGCCACTATTGCACTTGCACGCGTACCAACCGACATTGCTGCTGCATGTGGCGTGCGTGTGGCAGCTATGCGATCCACCCTCGGCGCACTCGTCCTTGTCCTGGCACTGTTCACCGGAACCCTCAAAGCCGGGAAGGCATTCGCACTTGTACGTACCCGGCTCGTCAATACACTTGGCAAACGCGTGGCAGCGGTTGGCGTTGTTACATTCATCGATGTTAGCGCACTGCTCGCCATTCCCGGAGTAACCAGCGTTGCACGTGCACTCAAATGATCCGTCCGTGTCTTTGCAGGTGGCGTTATTGCTGCAGCTACTCTGCGCCAGTTCGCATTCGTCAATATCCACGCACTTATCGTCTTCCTTAGCGAACCCTTCAATGCAGTTGCAGGAGTGTTGTGCACCATCACTTACGCATATTGCGTTATCGGGGCATGTGTTGGCCGCGGCGCACTGATTGACAAGTTCACATTGCTCACCGGAGCCAGCATAGCCGCTCTTGCAGGCACACGAATACGAACCGGCATTGTTGGTGCAGGTAGCGCTCAAATGGCAGCTGTTATCGCCTTCGCATTCATTGACATCAGAGCACTCCTTTCCACTGCCCTTGAAGCCATCCGCGCACTTGCACACAAAGGATCCGACGGTATTCTCGCAAGCGGCATGAGAGTCACAACCGTGTTTTCCGTTGCACTCGTTCACGTCCACACACAGGTGCCCGTCACCTTGGTAACCAGCCGGACACTTGCACGTATAGGAGCCGACACTGTCTGTGCATACCGCATGCTCGTGGCAGCCGTTCGTTCCCAGGCACTCGTCCACGTTCTCGCAATTCAAACCGTCGCCGCGGTAACCGGCCAGGCACTTGCAGGTATAGGAACCCTCGTTGTCGCTGCACGCCGCGCTGCTATTGCAGCTGTGCTGGCCGTTGCATTCGTTGATATCAGTACAGACCTCTCCGTCGCCGAAATACCCTGACATGCACTGGCACGTGTAAGAGCCCTCGGAGTCGTTGCACGTGGCGTGCTTGTGGCAGCTGTTGACGCCGCTGCACTCGTTTACGTTCTTGCACGATTTGCCACCGGTGCCCGAGTAGCCGGCCCTGCACGTGCACTCGTACGATCCCCTCGTGTCGTGGCAGCTCGCGAGTTTTTGGCACTCGTTTGGCCCGTTGCACTCATTGATGTTCGTACACTGGACTCCGTTTCCGGTTTGTCCCACGCCGCACGCACACCTGTACGAACCATTGGTGTCTGTGCAGTTGGCCAGTTCGTGGCAGGCGTTCACGCTGCTGCACTCATCCTCGTTCTTGCATCGGTAGCCATCGCCCTCGTACCCGGCGTCACACGAGCACAAGTATGACCCCACCGTGTCCTTGCAGGTGGCGTGCGCGTGGCACTTGTTCTTGGCATTGCACTCGTTCACGTCTGCACATTGCCGCCCGCTGCCCTCGTAGCCCTCGTTGCATTCGCACGAGTACGATGCGTCGTTGTTCACGCACCTGGCGTTGGCGTCGCAGCTATTGATGCCCTCGCACTCGTCGACGTCCGAGCACGTCTGTCCATCTCCCGCGTAACCAGCGGAGCAGGTGCACTTGTAAGAACCCACCGTGTCCGAGCACGTGGCCTGAGCGTTGCAGCTGCTGGCGTTAGCGCACTCGTCCACGTTCTCGCACGACTCGCCGTTGCCGCGGAAGCCGTTGATGCAGGTGCAGGTGTACGTGGTGCCGCTCTGCGTGCAGACGGCGTTGATGTCGCACGTGTGCAGCATTATGCACTGGTTCAATAGCACGCATGCCTTGCCCACGTGAGCGTAGCCCGGCTGACACTCGCACTTGTAAGAGCCGATGTTGTCCGTGCACTTGGCGTGCTCAGCGCACACGTTCGCGACCTCGTGACACTCGTTGATGTTTTGGCACTGGCTGCCGGAGCCGGTGAAGCCCGACCTGCAAGCACACGAGTACGAGCCTTCGTTGTTGGTGCACTCGGCCATGGCGTGGCACTTGTGGTCGCGGTTGCACTCGTTAACGTCGCTGCACGTCTCGCCGTCACCCTTGTATCCGGTCACACAGCTACACGAGTACGATCCGATGTTATCCGTGCAGCGGGCGTTCTTGTGGCAAGCGTTGATTCCACTACATTCATCGACATTGACACAGCGCTTGCCCTCGGCAACGAAGCCAGGTTTGCACGAGCACGTAAACGAGCCCTCGGTGTCGGCACACGTGGAGTTCTCGGGACACGAGTCCTTGTCGTTGCACTCGTTGGCGTTTGTGCACTTGCGACCGTCCGTGCCGACGTAGCCTGTGTGACATTCGCAGGCGTACGTGCCATTCTTGTCGAAACAGATGGCTTGTACGTGGCAGGCGTTGGGTCCCAGGCATTCGTTGACGTTTTCGCAGCTCTCGCCGTCGCCGGAGAATCCAGAATCACAGGCACATCGGTACGAGCCCTGCGTGTCCGTGCAGCTAGCGTGCACGTGGCACCCATGCTCGTCTCCGCTGCACTCGTTGAAGTTGACGCACTGGTCGCCGCTCTTGGTGTAACCCGGGTGGCACACGCACTCGTAAGAACCGGAGTTATCGACGCAGGTCGAGTGTCCGTCACAGCTGTTGGCGCCCAGGCATTCGTTAACATTAGCGCACTCCTCGCCGTTCCCCAGGAAGCCGTCGTTGCACGCGCACGTGTACGACCCGACGATGTTGGTGCAGGTGGCGTCCGCACTGCAGCTGTTGACTCCGTTGCACTCGTTTGTGTTCCTGCACTCTCGGCCATTGCCCTTGTATCCGGCAGAGCACTTACATGAGTACGAGCCGCGTGTGTCGGTGCACGTTGCGAGCTCGCTGCAGCCATTGGCGCGTTTGCACTCGTCGATGTTAGCGCACTGCTCTCCATCGCCGGTGAAGCCAGCCCTGCACTCGCACAAGTATGATCCATCGTTGTCGTGGCAATTGGCGTCCGCACTGCACTTGTTCTTGCTGCGGCATTCATCATCGTTTGAGCATTGCTTCCCGTTACCCACATAGCCGGGCAAACAGGAGCAGGTGTACGAGTCTTCACCCTTCGGCTTGCAGACGGCGTTGGCATGGCAATTGTGGGGGCCGGAGCACGAGTCTTTGACCGCGCACTGCTTGCCGGAGCCAGCATGGCCCGTCTTGCACTTGCAGGTGTATGAACCTGGCGTATTGCTGCACGTGGCGTTCACGTGGCACGTGGACTTGGTGTCGCATTCGTTCACGTTCACACACAGACCACCTACATTATTGTACCCGGTGACACACGGACAACTGTATGATCCATCGGTGTTCACACAGGTCGAGTGCTGCGGACACGAGTGGTTCTTGTTGCACTCGTTTTTGTCCTTGCACAGCTTGCCGGAGCCAGAGTAGCCCGACTTGCAGGCGCACGAGTATGAGCCGACGATGTTCGTGCACACGGCGTTCTTGTGGCACTCGTTCACACCTACGCATTCGTTGACGTCGTTGCAATCCTGTCCATTACCGACATAGCCGGCCGCGCACTGGCACTGATATGAATCTACTGTATTCTTGCACGTGGCCTTGCTGTGGCAGTCGTGCTTCCCATTGCACTCGTTGATACTCCTGCAGGTCTCTCCGTCTCCGGCGTATCCGTCCTTGCACATGCACGTGTAGCTTCCGAAGACGTCCCGACACTGGGCGTGTATGTCGCAGCTGTTGATGCCCTTGCACTCGTCCTCGTTGGAGCAGTGGGTCCCGTTCCCGTGGAAGCCAGCCTTGCACGAGCACGTGAACGAGCCCACAATGTCAGCGCAGGTGGCGTTGGCGTGGCAGCTGGCGGGGTCGTTGCACTCGTTCACGTCCACGCACCGTCCGCCCTCGCCGGCGAATCCCTCGTCGCACTCGCACTTGTACGAGCCCTCCGTGTCCACACACTTGGCGAGCGCGTGGCAGCTTGTGGTGCCGAGGCACTCGTTCACGTTCACACACCTTGCCCCACTGCCCTCGTATCCAGCGTTGCAGCTGCACGAGTACGAGCCGTCGGTGTCCCTGCAGGTGGCGTGCGCGCTGCACTCGTTCTTGCCCTTGCACTCGTTCACGTCGGAGCACTCACGACCGCTTCCGTCGTACCCAGGCTTGCACGTGCACTCGTAAGAGCCGTCGTTGTCGGCGCACGTGGCGTGCCGATGGCACTCGTTTTCGCTGCTGCACTCGTTTACGTTCTCGCAGTGCTGCCCGTCACCGCCGAAGCCAGGCTCGCACGAGCATGTGAACGAACCGTTCGTGTCCGCGCACAGAGCGTTCTTGTGACAGTAGTTGGCGCCAGCGCATTCGTCCTTGTTCAGGCAGAGCAATCCGTTTCCGTCGTAGCCCGGGAGACAAGAACAGGTCGGGAAGCCTCCCACGCTTGAGCAGATTGCCTTCTCGTCGCACGGATTTATCATGTCGGCACAGCCGTTGGCTGCGAAGCACTCGCCAACGCCGCTTCCCACGAACCCAGCCATGCACTTGCACGTGTACGAACCGAACGAGTCCGTACACGTTGCGTCGTCGTGGCACATGTCCTTATCCAGTGCACACTCGTCAATGTTGCTGCACTCGCGTCCGTTGCCGGCAAATCCGTCTGTGCACGTGCACTCGTACGAGCCGATGTTGTCTGTGCATTTGGCGTGCTTGCTGCAGGACTTCTGTCCGCTGCACTCGTTGATATTGTCGCACTGCTCACCGTTTCCGACGTAACCACTCTCGCATGTGCACTCATACGAGCCCTCCGTATTTGTGCAGTTTGCGAGCTTGTAGCAGCTGTTGATGCCACGACACTCGTTCACATCACCGCACAGTCCATCGACCAGCTCGTAGCCGGCATGGCATGAGCATACAAACGATCCGGGCGTGTCTTGGCAGGTGGCCTGAGCAGGGCAGCTCTTCGCATTGTTGCACTCGTTCTCGTTTTTGCACTCGTCTCCGCTGCGCACGTACCCGGCCTTGCACCAACACGAGTAGGAACCAACGGTGTCCGTGCACACGGCGTTCTCGTCGCAGTCGTTGTCGCCGGCGCATTCGTTGATGTCAGCGCACTTGGTGCCCGAGCCCTTGAAGCCAGGCTTGCACTCGCATGTGTATGAACCCAGGCTGTCGTGGCAGTAGGCGTCCGCGTGACAGCCGTTCGGCGTATTACATTCGTTGATGGTTGCGCACTCTGTGCCAGTGGCACCGGTGAATCCAGCGAGACAGGAGCACTTGTACGACCCGGCTGTATCCGTGCAGTTTGCAAACTTGTGACAGGACGTAGCGCCCAGGCACTCGTTCACGTTTTGGCAGTCCTCACCCCCGCCGACATATCCATCCTTGCATTTGCAACTGTAGGAGCCCTCGTTGTCAATGCACTTCGCAGACGCGTGGCACGAGTTGGGGCCATTGCATTCGTTAGCATTTGTGCACGTCTTGCCGGAGCCCTCGTACCCAGTTACGCACGAGCACGTGTAGGTACCGGGCGCGTCGGCGCACGTAGCGTGCTCGTCGCAGTCGTTGGCGCCGCTGCACTCGTCGATGTTAACGCACTGTGTGCCATTAGCTTTGTAACCAGACAGGCACTGACACGAGTACGAGGCGTTGTTGTTGCGGCAGATGGCCTGCTTGGAGCAGGTGTGCGTGTCGGCGAGACATTCGTCTATATCCTCACAGGTCAAACCGTCACCGACGTAACCAGGGAGACACGTACACAGCGGAGTTCTGTCCTCCTGTTCGTCGCAGACGGCGTTCTCGTCGCACGGGTTCTCGTCCGGGCAGTTGTTGGACGACACACAGACGCGCCCGTTGCCCTTGTACCCAGCGTGGCATGAGCAGGAGTAGGAGCCGTGGTTGTCCGTGCAGGTGGCGTGCACGTGACACGGCGTCACGCCAGCACACTCGTTTGAATTCTTGCACGTCTCTCCGTCGCCGTGGTATCCGTCCCTGCACTTGCAAATGTACGAGCCGTTCGTGTCGCGGCAGTCGGCGTTAAGGTCGCAGCCAGGGGAACCGTTGCACTCGTTCACGTTGGCACACTGTCGACCGTTTCCACGGTACCCTTCAGCGCAGGAGCAGTCGTACGATCCCGTGTAGTCCCTGCAGACGGCGTGCTTGTGGCACTCGTTGACGCCCTTGCACTCGTCGACGTCCTCGCACTTGTCGTCGCTGCCCTCGTATCCGGCGTTGCACACGCACTGGTACGAGCCCTCCGTGTTCATGCAGTAGGCGTCCCGGTGGCAGTTCGTCTTCCCCTCGTCATTGCACTCGTTCACGTCGGTGCAGATGGTAGCGCCTACACTGCTGAAGCCGTCCCTGCACTTGCACATGTACGAACCCACTGTGTCGTTGCAGTTGGCGTTCCGATGGCAGTCATTGATGCCCCTGCACTCATCCAGATTCTCGCACGCGAGCCCCGAGCCGGTGTACCCGGCCTTGCAGGTGCACGCGAACGAGCCCTTCGTGTCCGAGCAAATGGCCAGCGTGGAGTGGCAGTCGTGAGTTCCAGCGCTGCATTCGTTCATGTTTTCGCACGTCTCGCCCGAGCCGGCGAAGCCCTTGTTGCAGCGGCACTTGTACGAGCCCACTGTGTCCGTGCAAGTGGCAAACTCGTGGCAGCTATTGGCGCCATCGCACTCGTTCACATCGTCGCATCTTCCGTGCCCGTCGTCCTCATACCCGGGCAGGCAAGCGCAGGAGAACGAACCTTCCGTGTCACTACATTTGGCGTTCTCGTGGCAGTTGTGTTCGCCGTTGCTGCATTCGTTCACGTTGCCGCAGTCTTCGCCGCTTCCCGTGTACCCGGTGGTACACGCGCAGAAATAGGAGCCAATGCTGTCCGTGCACTTGGAGAACTCGTGACAGCTGTTGACCTCGTTGCACTCGTCGACGTTGGCGCAGTGTAGGCCAGTACCGCGGTAACCGGCGTTGCACTCGCACTTGAACGACCCGACGGTGTCCGTGCACTTGGCGTTGACGTGGCACGCATGCTTCCCGCCGTTGCGACACTCGTCTACGTTCTCGCACACCTCGCCGGAGCCCGCGTAACCCTCCTTGCACGAGCAGGTGTAGGCGGTGCCCTCCGCCAGGCAGTAGGCCTCCTGGTGGCAAGTGTGCTCGCCGGTGCAGGTCGGGATCTTGAAGCAGTCCTCGCCAGTGCCGGCGTAGCCTTCCAGGCACGCGCACGTGTACGATCCGTTTGTGTTTGTGCACGTGGCATTGGCATGGCAGGAGTTGAGCTCGACGCTCGAGCACTCGTTCTTGTCTGCGCAGGCCTTGCCCGTGCCGGCGTAACCACTGCGGCACGCGCACTCAAACGAACCCTCGGTGTCGGTGCACTCGGCCAGCAGCGGGTAGCAGTCGTGTCCGCGGCTGCACTCGTTCACGTTCTCGCAAGTCCGGCCGTCCCCGCGATACCCCTCGTTGCAGCGGCACTCGTACGCACCCACCGTGTCCACGCACTCGGCCTTTGCGTGGCAGGTGTTCTCGCCGTTGCATTCGTTCACGTTGACACACTCACTGGTGCTGGCGTTAGCCTCAAATCCAGGCTTGCACAAGCAGGAATACGATCCAATCGTGTCCCCGCATGTCGCGTTCACGTGACAATTGTGCTTTCCATTGCATTCGTTCACATTGCTGCACACGCGCCCGCTGCCGACGAAGCCAGAGCCGCACGAGCAGGAGAACGTGCCGACGTGATTGTGACACGTGGCATTGCCGTCGCAGTCGTGCTGGCTGAGCGTGCACTCTTCCACGTCGGAGCACTGCTGGCCGCTGCCCTCGAACCCGGCCAGGCACTTGCACGAGAAACTGCCGTCGTTGTTGGAGCAGGAGGCATTCACGTGACAGTTGTGCGTCTCGCTGATGCACTCGTTGATGTCGGTGCATTGCGTGCCGCTGGCGCGATAACCAGCGTCGCATGGGCACGAGTACGAACCATCGTTGTCCTTGCAGGTGGCGTCCTTCTGGCAGTTGTGCGTGCCCTCCGAGCACTCGTCCACGTCGGAGCACGTGTGGCCGTCGCCGGCGAAGCCATCGTTACACTTGCACTCGAACGAACCGTCCAGGTCGGAGCACGTGGCCACCGCGTGGCACGTGTGCGTCCCCGCCATGCACTCGTTTACGTCGTCGCACTTCTCGCCGTCGCCCTCGTATCCGGCCCAGCACTTGCACGAGTAGGCGCCGACGGAGTTGGTGCAGTCGGCGTGCGTATTGCACTCGTTGCTGGCGGCGCTGGCGCACTCGTTCACGTCCTGGCACTGCCGTCCGTTGCCGTGGTAACCCTGGTGGCACGCACAGCTGTAGGCGCCCACGCTGTTGGCGCACGACGACAGGTTGGCGTGGCAGGTGTTGTTGCCGTTGCACTCGTTCACGTCGTAGCATATGCGTCCCGTGCCGTGGAAGCCCGGCTTGCACGCACACTTGTAACTACCAGTCGTGTCGCTGCACTTGGCATGCTTGTGACATTCATTCATGCTTGCCTTGCTGCACTCGTCGAGGTCTTCGCAGAGGACTCCGTCGCCACCGAAACCCACATTGCACTTGCAGGCGAAGGTGAGCGGCTTGTTTGTGCACACGGCCTGCTCATGACAGTTGTCTGTTCCGCGCAGACACTCGTCAATGTCCTCGCACTGTGTGCCGTTGCCCTCGGACCCTCGATTGCACGTGCAGTTGTGCGAGCCGTGCGTGTTGTGGCAGACGCCGAATATGCGATCACACGTGTGCACTCCGTCGTCGCACTCGTGAATGTCGTTGCAGCTGGTTCCCACTCCGGCAAACCCGTCCCAGCATTGGCAGGTGAACGATCCCACGGTGTCCGTACACGTGGCATGCTGGTGACAGTTGTGCGTCCCATTCAGGCACTCATTCACGTCCTTGCACTGCTCCCCGTCGCCAGCATAGCCGCTATTGCACTTGCAAGTGTAACTGCCTGCATTGTTCGTGCACGCCGCGTCTGCGTGACACCTGTGCGTGGCCGTCGCGCACTCGTCGTTGTCAATGCACTCGCGCCCATCACCCGAAAAGCCAGTGGCGCATTCGCACGAGTAGCTGAGATCATTGTTGCTGCAGACACCCGCATCTTTGTGGCACTCGTTGCTACCCGAGCATTCGTCTATGTCGTCGCACTGTGTTCCATTGCCAGCGGCGCCCAACTTGCACTTGCAAACAAAGGAGCCGACTGCATTCCTGCAGATAGCGAGCTCGTGGCAATTATGCACCTTCGTTTGACACTCGTTCGTGTCTCCACAGCTGCTGCTGTTAGTGGCAGCGCCCTTGGCGGGCAAGTACCCAGTGTTGCACTCGCAGGTAAAGGTGCCCGGCTTGTTTACACAACGCGCACTCCCGTCGCGCTGGCAGTTGTTTGTGCCCAGCTTGCACTCGTCAAGCTCCTTGCACGTCCTGCCCAGGATGCACTCGTCAAGCTCCTTGCAATTCCTGCCCTCGTCGCGCGCGTCGTAGCCGTACGGGCACGAGCACGTGTACGGTGTTTCCGTGTTTGCGCACGTGCCCAGCGGGTCGCACTCGTGCGACCCGTCCGTGCACTCGTTCACGTCCGAGCATGCGCTTCCGTTGCCGGTCGTGCCGCGAATGCACGAGCAGATGTACGATCCGATGGTGTTGTGACACTCGCCGAACTGCACATCGCAGTCGTGACCATCGTTCTTGCACTCGTCCACGTCCTTACACTGAGTGCTATTACTGGTCGTTCCTGAAGCTGCGAAATACCCGGCCTCACATTCACACCGGAACCTGCCCACTCCGTTGACGCAGACGGCGCTTCCGTCCTTCTGGCAGTTGTTCGTGTCCAGGAGGCACTCGTTGAGATCGGTGCAATTCCTGCCCTCGTCCGTGGTACCATAGCCGTGCGGGCACGAGCACGTGTACCCGGGGCGCGTGTTGGTGCAGGTTCCCAACTTATCGCAGGCGTGAGTCTTGTCATTGCATTCGTCGAGATCAGAGCAATTGCGACCATCGCCGGCGAGTCCATCGATGCACGAGCAGATGTACGAGCCGTGGCTGTCATCGCATGTTCCCTCCTTCAGGTGACAGGTGTGTGTTTGCTGTTCGCATTCGTTAACATTGGTGCACACCGTGCTGTTGCTCCGCGTGCCAGAGGCTGCAGCGAATCCAGTGAAGCAGGTGCAGCTAAACGTGCCGACTTCGTTGTGACAGGTGGCACTTCCGTCCTTCTGGCAGTGGTCCGTCTTTAGAGCGCACTCGTCGAGATCAAAGCACGTCTCGTTCTTGCCGGTGGCAGCAAAACCGCTCGGACATGAGCAGGTGTACGACGTGTCAGTATTGGTGCAGAACCCCATTGCCAGATCACAGTCGTGGGTCTGGTCCAAACACTCGTTGATATCGGAGCAATTGCGACCGTCGCCAACTGTTCCGTTGACACAGGAGCACGTGTACGAACCATGGTTGTTCTCACATTTTCCAAACAACGAGTGACACGTGTCGGATTTGTCTGTACATTCATCGATATCGCCGCACGTCGTGCTGTTGCTCATCGTGCCCGAGGCCGCGAAGAATCCGGTCTGGCATGCGCAGCGGAACTTGCCCACTTCGTTGTGACAGGCGGCGCTTCCATCTAGCTGGCAGTTGTGTGTTTCCAGGGCGCACTCGTTGAGATCAGTGCAATTGCTGCCCTCGTACTCCGTGCCATAGCCGTAACGGCACGAGCACGTGAACGACTTGTCAGTATTGGCGCAGATGCCTAGTGACAGGTCACAGTTGTGGGTCTTGTCGGCACACTCGTTGTTATCAGTGCAGTTGAGGCCATCGCCCGTCGTTCCATCAACACACGAGCACGTGTACGAGCCGTAGCTGTCTTCACACTTTCCGAACTGCTTGTGACATTCGTTGGACCCGGCGGCGCATTCGTCAACATCCCTGCACAATGTGCTGTTGCTCTGCGTACCCGAGACAGCGAAAAATCCAGCGTTACAGGTGCAGCGGAACGTGCCCGCTTCGTTGTGGCAGGTGGTGCTCTCCTTTGGTTGGCAGTGGGTTCCCAGAGCACACTCGTCGACGTCGCGGCAAGTTTTTCCCTTGTCGTCAATAGTGTACCCGTGAACACACGAGCAAGTGAACGACGTGTCAATGTTGGTGCAGACGCTGTGCGAGCCATTGCAGTCGTGTGTTCCGCCTCTACACTCGTCGACGTCCGTGCACAGACGACCGTCGCCACGCATGCCGGCAACACACGCGCAGTTGTACGAGCCACGAGTGTTCGTACAGGTGCCGAACGTGGCGTGGCACTCGTGGTTGGTCTCGTTGCACTCGTGGACGTCGTTGCACACCCGTCCAGTTCCGGCCCAGCCCTCCTTGCACGTACACTTGTAGGTACCCGGCGTGTTTTCACATGTTGCCAGCTCGTGACAATTGTTCAGATTGCCACTGCTGCATTCGTTGTTGTCGTTACACCGTCCGCGAAGCTTCTGGTCCAGGGTGTAGCCGCTGTTACAGGAACACTCGTAGGTGCCCTGCTTGTTGTGGCACGTGTGGTCGCAGCTGTGCGTTCCGTCGATGCATTCGTCGTTGTCCACGCAGATCAGGCCGTCGCCGGTCGCGCCGCTCTCGCACTTGCACGTGTGGTTTCCGTGTGTGTTCTTGCAGACGCTGAGCGTCGCGGCGCAGCGATCATTTCTCTCGCTACACTCGTCAATGTCGGTGCACTCTCTCCCATTGGCAGACTCGTTGAATCCTGCCCTGCAAGCGCAAGCGTATGTTCCGACCGAGTTTGAACACAGAGCGTCGACGTGGCAGTTGTGCGACTCCAGAGTGCACTCGTTGTCGTCCTTGCAATCGCGACCGGTGGAGCCGGAGAAACCGGAGGCGCAGGAACACACGTACGATCCTGCCTGGTTGGTACACACCCCACCCACCGTGCTACAAGTGTGGCTTCCGCCTCTGCACTCGTCCACATCATCGCAATATACTCCAGTCCCGTTGTAGCCCTCAACGCACGAGCACGTGAACGATCCGGGCACGTCGTTGCACACGCTGTGGGACGGATGGCAGTTGTCATCTCCCAGGTCACACTCCTTGATGTCCGTACAGATCTCGCCGTTGCCTCGGTAACCAACCAGGCATGCGCAAGTGTGACTACCCGGCGTGTTTGTGCAGATGCCCGCGTCGAGATCGCACGCATGTGTTCCATTGGCACACTCGTCCATGTCCTTGCACGTCGTGCTGTTGGCGTGCGTTCCCGTCTTGCTCACGTAGCCAGAGTTGCAGGTGCAGCGGTACGCTCCCTCCGTGTCCTTGCACGTGGCACTGCCATCACGCTGACAAGCGTCCGTCTGACGCGCACACTCATCGGTGTTGTTGCAGGTCCTGGCCTTGTCGCTGGTCTCATAACCGTGCGGACACGCGCACGTGTAGGATGTGTCGATGTTCGTGCAGATGCCGACCGAAGCGTCGCACTTGTGCGTTCCCGTGAAGCATTCGTCCACGTCTGTGCACGCGCGACCATCGCCGAGCGTCCCCGCAACACACGCGCAGACGTAGGAACCCACGTTATTGGTGCACTTGCCAAACTTGCCGTGACAGTTGTGAGGCCCCTCGGAGCATTCATCCACGTCATCGCAAACCTTTCCTAATGCCTTGTAGCCAGCGTTGCATGGACACTGGTACGAGCCAGCCGTGTTTGTGCAGGTGGAGTTAAGTGGGCAGTCGTTGGTGTCATTGCGGCTGCATTCGTCATTGTCGTTGCACTTTCCTTGCACCTCGGAGTCCAGTGAGAAGCCAATGTTACAGGAGCATGAATATTCACCCTGCCTGTTGTGGCAGTTCTGACTGCAGCTGTGCGCTTCGTCGCCACACTCGTCCTTGTCCTTGCAGGTCAGGCCGTTGCCAGAGGCTCCGCTCTCGCACTTGCACGTGTGGTTTCCGTGCGTGTTCATGCAGACGCTGAGCACCTTGGCGCAACGGTCTGTGCCCGTTTTACATTCGTCTACATCGGTGCAGTCTTCACCGTCCGAGCCGTCGAATCCGCTCTTGCAAGCGCACGAGTACGTTCCATTCTTGTTGGAGCACAGCGCATCAACGTGGCATTGGTGCGTCCGGAGTGTGCACTCATCCTCGTCCTGGCAGTCGCGACCGGTGGAGCCTGAGAAACCAGAGGCGCAGGCGCAAGCGTACGATCCAACCCGGTTGGTGCAGACTCCTCCCACCGCACTACATGTGTCAGATCCCTCGTCACACTCATCCACGTCGTAACACTGAACGCCATTGCCGGTGTAACCTTCGGCACACGCACACGTGAACGAGCCGGATGTGTCCGTACAGACACCGCCGTCGCCGCGGTGGCAGCTGTGCGTGCCACTGGAGCACTCATCAATGTCTTCACAGCTGTGGCCGTTGCCCGTGAACCCAGGCTTGCACGCGCACGTGTGTGAACCGTTCCTGTTTGTGCATGTACCGTACTGCTCGTGGCAACTGTCCGTGCCTCGCTCGCACTCGTCAATGTCATTGCACTCGACTCCGCTGCCCTCGTATCCTGCTGGGCACAAGCACGTGTACGAGCCCTGCTCGTTGTGGCAGCTGGCACGCTGGTGGCACACGTACTTCCAATCACATTCGTTCACGTCCGTGCACTCCATGCCCGTGCCGGCGTAGCCCTCCTTGCACGAGCACGAGTATGAGCCCACGTGATTAGCGCACGCGCCGTGCTGCACGTCGCACCCGTGAATTTGGAGCTCGCACTCATCGGCGTCCTCGCACGTTTTGCCGTCGCCGGTGTAGTTCTGTTTGCAGGCACAAGTGTAGCTGCCCACCACGTTTGTGCACACGCTCAGGGTGGCGTGACACGCGTTGAGTCCCGAGCATTCTTCCACATCTTAAGACACAACACACAAGCAGTCACAAGGTGGAAATTAAGTCTAAAAAGAATCCATCATGCAGTCTCCCCTTTATAATCCAGCACCATTCGTGCTAAGGAAATTCTGCTGGATGTGGGAGGGGATACTGGACTAATAAATCTCATTCTCTGCTGAAAATGTGCATGCATAGGTTATAAAGAGGGTGCTGGCTTATAAAGTGCTGGCTTAAAAAGGGACGACTGTGCTCGTATACTGAAAAGGAAAACCATGTCTACACTCACGGACAAAAATAACCGGATCCCCAACATTGACAAAAACAGACAGGGAGAAATTACTGGATAACGTTGGACACAAGAACTCAACAGCATCCTGGCTTGCTTTGAAGAAAAGGGAGAGAGAGAGAGAGAGAGAGAGAGAGAGAGAGAGAGAGAGACAGGTAGCTACATCATCTGCAGACACGACTGTTCCGTCCTGTGTGCGATAACAGAGAGAGGGAGAGAGAGAGAGAACGGGCAGAGGAGTAGCCAGCACAGGTAGGAGTAGGCAGCAAACTCACCCGTGCAGTTCTTGCCGTCACCCTGATATCCGTCGAGACATGCGCATACGTAGCTCCCCTCGGTATTGGTACACGAACTCATCGTGTCATGGCATTGGTCGGTTTGCTGATCGCATTCGTTGTTGTCAATGCACGTGCTGCCGTTGCTGGTAAAGCCGGACGGACAGCGGCACTCGTACGATCCGGGTAAGTCGTAGCACCACACGTGTGATCCCACGCAGCCGTGTGTTCCATCCGTGCACTGGTTGATGTTCTCGCAGCTCTCGCCATTGGATGCACGACGGTAGTACTCCAGGCACGGGCAGTTGAAGCTACCAACGGTGTCCGCGCAGACGGTGTTGTTGGCACAGGTGTGCGTGCCGCTCTTGCACTCGTTAATGTTCACGCACTGGCCGCTCGTGTCGCGCTCGTATCCGCTGCTTGGGCACACGCAGTGCACGCCGTTGCCGTCCCCTTGGCTGCTGCAGTATTCGTACTCCCCGCAGGCTTTCCCGGCCGCCGCGCAATCACCATCATCTGCATGCACACAGAGAGCACAGCATGGCAAATACAGCAGCAGCCGCAGCACCAGGAAGGTGTGTCAAGAGACAAAAGCCTGGAGAAGAGGAACAAACCAGTATGCTGGTGATAGTGCTGCTGCTGCTGGTGCACCTACACAAACAGGCTTGCAATGCATGGCAAATACAGCGGCAGTGTTGTAACTGGAGTTTCGCACTCCAGCCCACCGCCCCGTGCCAACTCAACGCTTATACAACGGACGCGAAACTACATCTAGAAGACTGCTCATCACTACACGACGACGGTAACACAACAGTACATGACGAACTCAAGACGAAGACTGCTTTTCACACCACAGCAACTAGTGTTGAAACGATCTCACCGGGTACTCGTTAGCTCGCTCGCCAGAAACTCGGCTCGTTTGTGCGGCCAGCTCGTTTGCACTAACGAACACCGTACACCGTACTCTGTACACATGGCAGTACATATACGTACATGTCGACCGGGGAGTCGTAGAATATTTTACGACTCCCTGATCGAGAGTCCAGTCCCACGCAAAGTGAAAATCACTCGCAGGGACAGTGACTGTATACCTGCACGACATGTCAACACTGAGTTGTTTCTGTTGTCGTTGCAGCTTTAGTGGACTCCACTGATGTCTTGTTCCGCATCTGCTGATATCTTGTTCCGCATCTGCTGACCTTTTGCGGTACAAGCTTCTGTCAACTCTCTGAAAGTTACGCTCAGTCGTTTGGATGTTTTCTCCCGCGATGCAGCGAAGACCAGGGCTACCGGTACTTGCGATCTGTGAAAACAGTCTATTCTTTCAAAGGCTGCTCAACGACGGCGCTGAAAAGACATCTCGACACCAAACAGCAGTCCGAAGTGAAGCAACAGCAACCCCAAGTGCCGGCTGAAAAAAATCGAACTTAGAAAAAAATATTTAAAAATCATATTTGCCACATCAATGAATCTCGTTAGCTCGCTCGATAGTGGAACTGATTGCTCGTTTGTTACAGATACGCTCGTTTAAACACTAACAGCAACACGCTCATGCACCAACAACACGTATACATTACGTTCACAAAATAACAAGCTGCAGCAGCAACAGGAAAGTGAGTCAAGGAACGAAGCCCGGACGACAAGAGGAGCAAATCAGAGACTGCTGGTGGCCGCGCCGCTGCTGCAGCTGCTGGAGTACACACAAACAGGCTGTTGAAAGAAGGCATAGTGCTGAGAGTGTGCAGCACGCGTCCTCTTCCTATTCTCTACTTTTTGGTCTTTTTCATATTTTTCACGCACACACATCACACCACATACTCCGGCATGCACTGGCTGTAGGTAACCACCCAGGAGAATGAAAGAAAAGTCAGGAGGAGTCTGAGAAAGAGAAGAAAGACGTGTGTGACAATAATCGTCGGGAATCGAACCCGCAACCTATCGATTGGAAATCGCTGCACATACCACTGCACCAGATGGGACACACACACACACACACACACACACACACACACACACACACACACACACACACACGTGCACACATACACACACACACACGCGTGCACATACACAGACAGACACACACACACACACACGTGCACACACACACACGTGCACACACACACACGCACAACAACAACAACAACAACAACAACAACAACAACAACAACAACAACAACAACAACAACAACAACAACAACAACAAAAAGTCTCCTCCCGACCTGCTTTCAAACAAGAAATTTGCTCACTGCTGATTAACTCAATCTGCTCCTGCAGCGCTCACCCTCTCCCATACTTGTAAAATTCAAAGTGATGTAAATCACTTTCCAACTGCATAACCCACAATCTCACCTTCTCATAAATGTATCTCTTGTTGGCGATGGTGCCATCGTGAGAATAAAGAATTCAAACAACAACTCCAGTCTTTCAATATTCTTTTTAGACTAAGGTCTACACTCACCAGTGATTCTTTACCTCACATCTATCAGACTTACATACCTATATTCGTATATGCGAGCAATGCTCTCACACCGTTGTCACACACTTCCCTTGACAGACTAGAACGACTCCAGCGGAAAGCCGCCAGAATATGTCTCCACCTTCCCCTTAACACACACTTAGAACACTCCCAACTTTTGCATCGCATCAAATGGCCAACATTATTTTCACGCTTTAAAGTTACATACTCTTCGCACATTCTCTGCGCCACAATTATGCCCCACCACATATCTCTCGCTGCATACTGCTTGCAGCGTGCAACCTTCGTATAGTTTACGCCGCTCTCGTACTTGGCACTTGCCAACTCCGCGGACTGATCGCTGTCTCCATTCTCCCCTGTACAAGGCCCTTCATTACTTTAATTGCTTGCCCACCCAGCTTCGCGAAATCCCTTCTCGTACTCTCTTCAAATCCCAGATATCCCTCCTTTCTTACACTATTATCTCTTATTGGCCACTGGCTATAGTGAGAATAAGAGATTTGAAACAACAACAACACACACACGTACACACATACTCACACATGCACACACATAGACACACACACACACACATGCACACACACATGCACACACACACACACACACACACACACACACACACACATGCACACACACACATGCACGCACACACATGCACACACACACACACACACACACACACACACACACACACACATGCACACACACACACACACAAACACACACACACACACACACACACACACACACATGCACACATACACACACACACACACACAACAACAGCAACAACAACAACAACACATACGCTTGCTCAACACCCCCGCTCAAGTTACGGCCCAGAACAGCCTTCGACACGCACGCACTTGGCACCTCCCCCCCTCCAGAACCGATCGCTGTAAAGACTCCCCACTGTACAAGTCCCTAGAATACTACAATGCCCTCCCTGCTAGCATTCGTGACGTCTCCTCCCGACCTGCTTTCAAACAAGAAATCTGCTTACTGCTGATTAACTCAATCTGCTCCTGCAGCGCTCACCCTCTCCCATACTTGTAAAGTTCAAAGTGAAGTAAATCACTTTCCAACTGTTTAACCCACAATCTCACCTTCTCATAAATTTATCTCTTATTGGCGATGGTGCCATCGTGAGAATAAAGAATTCAAAATTCAAACAAACAACAACAACAACAACACACACGTACACACATACTCACCAGGCACCTTGCACATGACGCCATTGCCAACCAGACCTGTGTTACACTTGCAACTAAACGCTCCAACGTTGTTCGTACACGACGCGTCACGACTGCAATTGTCACGAGACTCTTCGCATTCGTTGACGTCTGCGCACGATCGTCCGCTTCCTCGGAAACCTTCTTTACATTTGCAGTGGTAGGTTCCGGGAATGTCCGTACAGGTGGCGTTGATATGGCAGAGGGGCGTTTTCGACTCGCACTCGTTATTGTCGGTGCAGGTCGTGCCGTTCCCAGAGTATCCGGAGGCACACGTGCACTTGAAACCACCCTGTTCGTTGTGACACACGCTCGCCTTGGCGTGACAGTCGTCCATATGGTCCTTACACTCGTCAATATCAGTACAGCTGTGCCCATCGCCATTGTATCCAGACTTGCAGGCACACGTAAAGTTGCCGACGGAGTTCGTGCACGTGGCGTACAGTCGGTGGCATGTGTGCGAGAGGTGCGGCTCCTGGCATTCGTTCACGTCGACGCACGCGCTGCCGTTGAAGATGAAGCCGGTGGCGCAGCGACACGAATACGAGCCGTTCGTGTTGTGGCAGACGGCCGCCCTGCCCTTCTGGCAGTCGTGCGAGTCGTCCATGCACTCGTTTCTGTCCTTGCAGCGAACGCCGTCGCCCTCGTACCCGCTCAGGCACGAGCACGTGTGCCCGCCGGGCGTATTCTTGCAGTTGGCACGTGTGGCGTGACACATGTCCGTGCCCAATGCACACTCGTTCAAGTCCACGCACTTGCCGGCATGCCGGCTGTAACCTGCCTCGCAGTCGCACGCGTAGGAGCCGTTCGTATTTCGGCACTGCTCCAGGCCCGCCTCGCACCTGTGCGTCTCCTGAAAGCACTCGTTTTCGTCTGTGCACTGGGTCTTCCCGTTGCCCACATACCCGCTCTTGCAGTAGCAGATGAACGAGCCGCGCGTGTTCCTGCAGGCGCCACGCGTCCGGTGGCAGTTGTGCGTGCCGCTCGCGCACTCGTGCTTGTCCAGGCACTGCACGCCGTCACCCTCAAACCCGGCCATGCACGCGCACGTGTACGAGCCGACGATGTCGGTGCAGGTTGCGTCAGAGTGGCATGGCTTCCCGGTAAAACACTCGTTAATGTCGTTACATTGCTTGTACCCGTCGCCGGTAAATCCCTCGGCGCAGGAGCAGGCGTACGAGCCGTTCGTGTTCTTACACTGGCGACCCGCGCCCGTCGGGCAGATCTTGGCGTCCTGGCACTCCTGCTGATCCACACAGCTCAGGCCGTCGCCGGTGAATCCCACGCGGCACACGCACTCGAACGAACCCGGCAGGTTGTGGCACCAGCTGTTGTACACGGCGCACTTGTCCACCTTCTCATCGCACTCGTCGTAGTCCACACACCGGTTGCCGTCCTCCTTCACGTAACCAGGGTTGCAGTCGCACTCATACGCGCCGTCCGTGTTGAAGCACGAGCCGTGCGTGCGATCACACATGTGCGAGCCGCTCGTGCATTCGTCAGCGTCCGTGCAGTGGGTCCCGTTGCCATTGTACCCGGAGTTGCACGAGCACGTGTAATCGCCCTGGCCATTGAGGCACATGGCGTACTTCGGCTGGCACGTGTGCGTGCCGTCAGCGCACTCGTCCACGTCACCGCACGACTTCTTGTCGTCGCCCAGCCGATAGCCGTCCGCGCAGTGACAGCTGAAGCTGCGCAGGTTGTTCACGCACACGCCATGCCGGGCATCACAACTGTCCGTGACCAGACGGCACTCATCATTATCGAGGCATGTCGTGCCCTGCTTGTGCATGCCCGATAGGCACCGGCACAGGTACGAGCCCCTCGTGTTCACGCAGATCGACGAGCGGTTGTTGCAGTTCGCGGGGCAGTCGTTGACGTCCACGCACGTGTTACGGCCGTCGCCGACGAAGCCCGGTGTGCACTCGCACTCGTACGAGCCATCCGTGTTGCGGCATCGGGCATTGGCGTGGCAGTCGAAGTCCAGCTTGCACTCGTCCTGGTCGATGCAGGTGCGTCCATTGCCCCTGTACCCGGTCAAGCACGCACACGTGTAGTGCGGCGAGTGATCGGTGCACACGCCGTGGTCCGGGTGGCACAGGTGCGTTTTCGCTTTGCACTCGTCCACGTTCACACAGCCGGCGCCTGCATACCCTGGCAGGCAACGGCACTCGAAACTGCCCGGCAGGTTGAAGCACTGCTGCTTGGACGTGTCGCAGTTGTTCTTGCTCGGGTCCTGGCATTCGTTCGTGTCGTGACAAAAGTGCCCGTCGCCGGCATAACCGACGTCACATTCACAGTCGTACCCGCCATCCCGGTTGTTGCAAACCCCGTGGTCGCCGTGGCAGCCATGCTGCTCCGTGAAGCATTCATTGACGTCACGGCAACCGCGTTCCCAACTCTCATACCCGGTCACGCAGCTACAGGTGTAATTGCCGAACGTGTTGTGGCAGGTGCCGTGTTGGTGGTTGCACTCGTTTCCGCCACCGCCTTTGCACTCGTTTACGTCCTCGCAGAGGTCCGTGCCGGCCTGCTTGGCAAAGCCGGCTTTGCAGAAGCACTGGTATGAGCCCACGGTGTCCGTGCAGGTGCCATGGTCCGGGTCGCAGGTGTCAGAGCCGCGAGCACACTCGTTTATATTATCACAGGCGTCCCCGACGCGTTGATAGCCCGCCTCGCACGTGCAGTGAAACGACTGGAACGTGTTGTCGCAATGGGCCTTGTCCGGGCACGTGGACCTGACCGAACACTCGTTGACGTCCGCGCAGGAATTGACACCGTCGCCTGTGAGTCCTGGCCGACAGAAACACTGGTAGGAGCCGTCGTTGTTGTCGCAGGTGGCATTCACGTGGCACACGTACGGTGTCTGGAAGCACTCGTTGACGTCTGCAAGACAAAAACCGCACAAATAAAAACACCAGTTCAACGAAGATTCGGATTCAGTATGGGTTCGTATTCTCTGTGCAGGCGAATTCCTGATAATTCCAATCCCAAAATATAAATTGCTAGGAAAGAAACTTCTAATCAAGGGCACATTTCTTATCAGCCAAGTCCAGGCATGTAGCCACAACATGATTCGTGTGTGTATGTGTATGTGTGTGTCGAGATACTCACATCGTCACACAGAGTTGCAATACAGTCAACTTCGCTAATAATGACTGCGGATATAATGATAATTCGTGAATAACGACAGAATTTCCTTGCTCAGAGCAAAGTTCCATCTAACTGTAATACATATAGCGTAATTCCGCGCATACCGTATTTTCCCCATTAAACGTACACGTCTCCATTACTAGTACGTCCCCAATTGTAGTACATGTTGGGTGTGGATCGAAAATATAAAAGGACACGTCTCTAATAATAGTACATGCCGGAATGATATGATGGGCATTAGTGGGGTACAGATACCAGGGTCCACCTTACTTCGTTTTTCTTACCCGTTCATCATATGTGTGTCTTTGTACACTGATTCTTACCATGGTTGGGTGTATTTACAGTTATTACTGCATCATTATCACGAGTTGTTTGCCACCCAACCCAGGCAATCAATCTTCCCAGAAACAATAAAAGTACACGTCTCCAATACTAGTACAGTCTCCTATAGTAGTACAGGTCTGACCACCTTTGAAAAACAAGTACTGTACATTTATTGGGGAAAATACGGTCTAAGCCCACGGGCTTATATGGGCTTATATGTGAAATAATGCAGTTTAGGGATAAAATATCCAGTAAAACATGTTCGTTTTTTAGCCCATGGGCCAATATTCGAATTTTGACGGTTCCCGAAAAAGTACAAGTCCGTGGCTATAGTGGGTATACCATACTCTACTGGTAAACTGCACTGACCTGTTGCACCACCGTAGGAAGAGTCCATATTGTGAAAAATTCTACTTGACACGCAAGTTTCATTTGTGTCTGTGTATTAGCCCATAGGCTTATAAACGGAGGTGGGCTTATATCCGGATATAGGCCCATGGGCTAATATGCGCGGAATTACGGTAATGAGACTTCGGGTATAAGGACATTTCGCAAATAAGGACACTTTTCTGATGCTCCGCTGAGTGCCGTTATTCGCAAAGTTGACTGTGTGCACAACAGCACACGGATACTGTGCACTCCGAACTGGCCAGTACGGTCCGCTGGAACTGACTCGTACGTTGAACTTCGAATTATCAGCAGGAATGCAAGCCATTGTTTTTTTAAAGATTTTGTTGACTTCTAACAATGATGTGTCCAGTTCGAGGTTTGAACTATCCGACACTGCTATCGTATTGGCTGAGATTGGTTCTAAGGGCGCATTCACACGCACGGAAAAACCGGATACGAGTACAGCTTGCCTGGCGTGAAAAGTGTTTTGGTGCATTCAGACGTACTTCGTAAAGAAGCGTGCAAATCCCCGAAGGCGCTCTTTTCGCCATGCCAACCAAGGCAGCCAGGCGCCGGCGCGGCAAAAATCAAAATTTTCAAATCAAAGTCTTCATCAACTGGATCCAGAGCTCCAGTCCTCGTCTTCGCCCTGAAGGTCTTATAGATGTTCTT